TGAAAACTTAAGTAGTTTAGGTACGTACGTCTACTGTACTAGTACTACTCGTCTTCGTAGTTGGTAGGTTAGTAAGTTACTTCGGTAGTTAGTTAGTATTCTAATACGTACTCTCTCTCTCTCTCTCTCTCTCTCTCTCTCTCTCTCTCTCTCCTGCCCTGTAAGTGTCTTTCTATGACATGAATGCTCTCTCTCCCCTGCCCTGCAAGTGTCTTTCTATGACATGAATGAACAAAAAATTTGGTCTCTCTATCTTCCTCTCTCATTTGCCCAGAGATCATAATCTCTCTCTCCATTTATTCATTATTTACTTATTCCAGAAATAAACAAAATCATCCTCTCTCATTTGTCCAGAGATCATAATCTCTCTCCATTCATTCATTATTTATTTATTCAAGAAATAAACAAAATCAAAGTCGAAGAGATCTTCTCAAACTTCAGATATCCTGGAATCCCTGATAAACAAACTCATGCGCTTGAACAATATGTGATATTCACATCATGTGAGACACCTGCCGACTTACTAGTTTGGGCTTTGATTGGATATACTTCAGTGAAACTCCAAGGGCTTGAACCCATGATCTCCCTTGCCTTAACCAATAGGTCTACCACTAAGCCAAAACCTAAGGATCACGTGTTACACAAACAAAATTACCTAAGCAAAAATGTTCTGAGTTCCAAACTCAGAATGCAATTGGGGTTTTCTAACAAACTTGAAAAAGAGATACTAAACTGAAAGAAATTCCATAAAGACAAAATTATCGCTGGAGGAGCACATCCTACATTCACTCCCTTAGAGAAACTATTAGGACATCCAATTTTTGGAAGCTAGGGCTCACGACAAAGAGACAAAATTCCTCTCTTGTCACTAGAACCGAACTTGAACCGGCAAGTCAGCTCCGGGTCTTATAACTTGGATCCGACCCAAGTCCAAGTCAGGCTCAACTCCAACAAGGAACGAGTCGGGCCAAGTGTAGGTTGGAATTGCCCAAATTGACCCATTTACTCCCCACCTCCGCTCGCACATGTCAGTGCCTTCTTTAGTGTGAGAACAGTTCCTGTCAGCCATCCATTGTTAACAACAGACAACAGTTCCCATGACAAGAAGTACAATGTTAGTTTGCTTCAAGCATCATTGTACAAATAATATATAAGTAGTACTTTAAAAATCAATGACCGAGCTCAGAACTGGTGGGGTATTTGTCCGGGTCTAAGAGCCCGTTGTTTTGCATCGATTGCACCGGTTACTACCGATAATTTATTGCTTAATATAATAAAACCTTAGAAAACCAGCAAGCCTGCTCAGCACGGCGGGTGACCTGCTCAACCACCAGTTCAATTTTTAAAATGCTGCTCCGAAAAAGGGCAATGGTTGACAAATCTACCTTTAACTCCTAAAACCAACAGCAACCGGATAGTTAGCAAATGTTTTCACCTGGAATCTTAAATAGCCACCAACCATACCATTAGCTCTTTGAATTAACAATAGTGGCCTGAGCCTTTCAAATTACTATAATACCCTCAAACAAATCCCCTCTAGCTTAGTTACATTTATTGGTTCCTTTTCTAAGATATGGAAAGCAGCGAACTCTGAAGGAGAGGTGTCAAAATCGTATCATGTATAATTTGGGCAATTACAGAACAAGATGCCTCAAGTAGGGCTATCAATGAGCCAAGCTGCCTGGTTGGCCTGACCCTTAGATACCAGGGCCTAGGCCACAAAGTATGGCCCAAGGGCCAGGCCTTCATGGACCAAGACCCAGGTTGGGCCGGCCCAAAATTGTTAAGGCAGAAAAAAGGTCTAACTACAAGCACATGACCAGAGGACAGAGAGTTCTAGTACAAAAACATCAGAGACACAAACTTGATAGCATCGCTACCAAATCAAGAATTAGCTTAACTTATTGGTTGGACTAGACTCAGTGACTTAACAAGTCAACTTAGTGCATTCATTCCATATATTTTCTAAATAAACATTAAAAAATAAGATACAATAAACAAAGAACATTTCAAGAAAATCAAGACATAATAAAAGCGGATCTAGTTTCCTGATAATTTAAATAATAACTTGAAATTGCAATAATGTAATGAAAGACAGAGCTAAAAAAACAATTAATAAATATCAAAGATAAGACTAATAAAGGGAGTGGGGTAAGCTTGGTTTAGTTTTTGGGAACAAACTTCAAGTGCTTGAACCATTAACCACCATCACACAAACTGAGGGTCGTAACATTGAGACCCAAACCCACTGGACAATATTTCAGTTCTAGATCATTAGATGACAAGTTATCATTTCAATTCTCTGCCAATTTAATATTAAGACAAAATGTCAGCATATCTTGTAGCAATTAATACGAAGATAAATGAATCGGTAATGGATGAGACTAACTGCCACAGTCTGAAAATGGAAGTGAGGTTAAATGAACTCCCTTTAATGGTAGTCAAAAGGTTATGTCCAAGAAAGGCGGGGTCCCAAATAACATATAATAGATACCCCTCCTAGGAAAACTAGTGCCCAAGTAATTTCTGAGAAACAGAAAAATTTGGGAAACTTATCTAAGTGTGTATGGGAAACATGTCTTCTAAATACAGAACATGGATGCATCTCAACAGGTACACATGAACATAGTTCCATAGTTAGGCAAATGTGCGAATAATTTTATCATTTTGTTTCATCTTGGCTCTAATAACTCCACTATCACTTTGTTTCAAAAACCTGACATAGAATGCTTTTTACTCGTAACTAAATCCAGAATTCCTAAGAGAGCTCCTTCCTCAGAGATCCACTAACTATTTTTAGTATTCAAGATAATTATAATATTGGCAGATGAGTGTTATAAAATGGGTGGGGCGGTCCATTATAATCATCGATGATGGCCATGGAAGAACTGAATCCAATGAGAAAATCAATCACAGTAACAAGTGGTGAAGAATATTTTCTATCTTGCCAGTTGATAAGAAGTTTCATTGTCTTGCAAGCTGCCGGCTCCAGCCGAAGATCTTGGAAGCAAATCATAAGAAAAAGATATTTCAATCTTTAGAAGCCATTATAAACCTTCCCATATAAGAACAACTGCTATGAATAAGGTAAAAAGTAAGTTCTTAATGGGGAAGATGATTATAATAGAACTTCACATAATAGAAAAATAGCAGTTCAACAAATACCCTAGCCTAATTGAAATTAGGCAAGAAGTTAAGCATGACATTTCCTATCGACATGTGTGGACAGTGAGGGGCCTCTATTTTAGTGTGCTAAAAATCCATACACCAGAGAGTCCACAACCATGAAACATTAAGAAACAAAACTGTGACTAATGGCTTAACATATGAAGAGAAAAAAGTCGCAAACGCACATCTAAATTCACAATAAGTGCAAAAGACAACAATCCATACAATAAAAAGCCCCAAGTAAGGCAGTTTCAGGACCAACCCTAGTGACTAGGAACTTTAAATTGCCCATGTATTTCAGAGCCCCCCAATACAGTAAAAGTACAATCAAAATACTACCAACAAATTATGTAGGTTCAGCTAGCCTCAGTGCATAATAGAATAGTTAAGATCTCCTAATCTTCAAGTAGCTCAATCTAATTTTTTGTCGATAACCTTTGTGGTTGATACAAGATATCCTTATTTTTCCTTCCAATTTAGGAGGCAACAGAGTCATTGAAAAACTAAAGCAGTTCAGTCTCCTCTGTTCCGGTTAACAATGTTTGATCTGGAGGTCTCCCCAGTAGACATTATACCATACCTATCTCAATTCTCAGTGTCTTGCACCAGCGGCAATGGCCCCTGAAAGATGTATCTTTCACTATTTCTTGTGTAAAATTATCCAGATTATTAATTTCAAGATTCTGATCATGAAAAGATCCTATTTATACACCACCATTTTGCTAAAAAAATTCCATGCTCATGGTTCTGTAAGTTGTCGAAATAGAACAAAATTTGCCAAAGTTATCTGGAGGCACGAGTCAAATCCAGGACCTACTAGAATGGTAGAATTGCAACTCTGAGAAAAGAAATGATTTGACTTGAGAATGTAATATCATTTCATGCAAAATTTTGGGGGAAAACCAACTTTCAGACCAAACTACACAGAACATCATTACCAAAAAGATAGAGAAGTTTGATGCATGGTATTCATTATATTTGCTTCCATAGCATAATTGCACGATATTTCATAATCCCGAGGTGAGCATAGGGTTTAAAAATCTTTCTACCCTAAGATTCCGTGAGCTACTCAAAATATTCACAAAGATAAAACAAGCTCCGCAAAAAAAAAATAAAAAAAATAAAAAAATAAAGGAGAAGAAGAAGAGAGTAAAAGATCTCCTGTAAGTCCAAGAAAACTTTTACTGTTGTCACTAATTTCATCATTGAAAATTATCACTTTTAATCCCACACGAACTAATTCCCGAGTACAAATCATATAGCTGAATTACCCAAAGGAGTCCCAGACAAACCAATGAAACAGGTTTCAGTCCTCCCAAATTAATCATGTCAAGCATGCACAATCCACACACTTAATTATATTCAAAGAATAATAATTAAGAAAAAATTGCAGCTTAATTAATAAGGAGAAACCAGGTGGAATTCGGAAGATTATGGACTATAGCATAAATATTTGCATGCATTGACAGATTAAAAACCTATAGTTGCATAGAATTTAGACATCTCAATCCATTCATAATGAAAAAAACAGCAGTTGGCCATTCCCTTAATCAAGAAACCCAATAATTACCGATATTATAGAATCCGTGGTACATTAGAGTGTCACAAAAAATTTATAAGCATAACCAATATAAACTAATCAAGACATAACGAATATGTATAGAGCTTGCATTTTTAAAGCAATAGTCAACTTCTTGAACCTATTTTCTAAAATTGGTAGAAGAACGAGGCTGGAAGTATGGTACATAATTAGCTTTGCCCCTTTGACCCTGTCAGCAAACTTTAATATCCAGAAAGCCAACCATTCCCATTATAATTGCAAGGAAAACACAGTAATACAAACTCGGGCCTCATTAATTGCGAATACCCAAGATAAAAACCCTCCGAAAATGGAGATTTTAGTAATTTATCAATTAGAATATGAGGGATTGGACCATGCTCTCTCTATCTACAATGCCATGAGGCAGCCGCAAGTCCCTCAACTGGATTCATATACAGAGAGGCCCACCAACAGAGTCCCGACCAGAGCTTGCATCTTGACGGTTCAGAGAGAGATTGCCAAACTGAGAATCAAGATCCTCTCGCATTTTCTGCTGCTTATAAAGTATTGAGCGTAACCGTTGAATCTCTCTCTCCAATACTTCTTGCTCCACTGCAACCCCAGCCTCAAATAAGTTAAGCTCACAAAAGATGAATAAATTGCATGGGCTTCCAAAATACAACGTTTGGCGAACCAAAACTTTCATCAATTTAATTCTGTTGGCGATTTATAAGGAGTACAATTTCCTCAAAAAAAACTGGAAGTACACATTTAACAAAATACGCCTCCTCTTCCTTTTAAAATATATACAATAAGTTGAGGTTTGGGTACAATAACATTAACACACCTTTGTGTACTTGGGAGCAGGTGGAAGTTATATGCATACATAGAAGAAGCATAAAATTGCAAACAAATAGGAGTCAAAGTACATCCAATTCAAGTACTACAGGTTTAGACTGGGAAGTTGCAAAGTAGACCCTGAAACAGAAACAGAAGTCATTTCCCTCCTGTCCTTTAACAAAATCAATAACGACAAACATGGTCGACATTTGAGGTGAAACCCAAGGAGGACAAATTGCCCCTAAATTTTTCAAATATATCAACAATCAATAGAAAACTAAGTCAGATGATCGAAATAGTTCCAAGGAAAATGGCTAAAGTACCTTCAATATTTAGAAGGCATAATTCAATATACATACATACATATATATATGAATATATATATATATATATATATATATGGATAACACTACGCAACGCCCATTGGCGAAAATGAACAATTTTTTTGGTTATGGGCTGGCCGCCGTCTGATTTGTTTAGACGCATGGAAAAATCGACCTCAACGAACATAGTATGTCCAGTGCGATCAATTTGTCACATGCAACCGCAACGGCTCTACGAGAGCCGTTGCGACTTTCAGGCTAAACCGAAATGGCTCTTGTAGAACCGTTGCGGGGTGAAATCACTGTACACTTTTGCCTAGGGGTGTTTTTAAGAGTTTTCATATATATATATATATATATATAACTGTATAGTACTAGAATATATATATATATAACTGTATAGTACTAGAATACCTATACCTACCAAAGATTCAATAAGTCAAGATATATTTTTGTCAGCTATTTATAGCTAAGTTTTATAAGAAGAAGTATTAGCAAAGAAGCAATAAGTAAGAATGGAGAAATATCTATTTGTATTAGCGGAGAAGCAATAAGTAAGAATGGAGAAATATCTATTACAAACCAGTTAATATAAGTGGTATACCCAAACTTTAAACAGAATATGAACTTAAAATTGCATAGCAGAGTATGAATACACTCACATATGGCACTTGCAAAAACTTGAAAATAGTTTCCACTCCTCTGGGCAGTAGCTCGGCAAAGAGTTTAGATTACAATCACACATATATTTTACAATCACTCAAATCCGGTGTGGCTAGATACACCACCCGATATACAGTAGAAAGAAAGGGAGAAAAGATAAATAGTAAATAGTAGAGAGAGCGAGAGAGTGAGAAGAATAATAGTGGAGACAGATTATCATAAAGAGGCAGAGAGAGTATAACAGAAATATGAGACTGAGAACTTTGACTGTAGGTTCGCAAAGAGAGAGACGGCTGAAGTGAACACGGGAGATGGCAAAGAAGAGAAACTTAGAGCGTAGAGAGATAGCTTGGGAGTATAGAGAGTATAGAAAGATGAACAGTACAGAGAGATGAAGAGAGATAGAGAATACAGCGAGATGAAGAATACAAAGAATGGCTTAGAAAGATGACTGATCAGAGAGTGAGATATGAGTTGTGAAAGAAAACAGAGAAAGATAGAGATCTTGAGAGATATAGAGCTGTGGGGAGAGAAAGCTTAAGGCTGATTGAGAGCAGAGAAGGATAGAGGACTATAAGCTTTGATCAGAGAGAGTTGGGAGCTAAAGCTTACTGAGAGCAGAGAGAGTTGAGAGTGAGCTTACTGAGAGCAGAGAGAGTTGAGAGTGAGCTTACTGAGAGTAGAGAGAGTTGAGAGCTAGAGCTTAGAGAGTAGAGAGAGTTGAGACCAGAGAGAGCAGAGAGCAGAGAAGATCACTGGGGGAGAGCACTCGGATGCCTTTGCTTCACCTCCTCCTTCCCTTTTATAAGCATCGGACTTCAAGGTTTATTAAATTTGTTTCATAAAGGACGCCAGCATGAGGTGACCTAAGGGTGAGCAATGACATCAAAAAGTTGTCGGCAACACAGTAAAAGGTGAACAGTGACATCTTGAGATGACAAAAAGTTGTCGGCAACACAGTGAAAGGTGAACAGTGACATTTTGAGGTGACAAAAAGTTGTCGGCAGCACAGTGAAAGGTGAATAGTGACATCTTGAGGTGACAAAAAGTTGTCGACAGCACAGTGAAAGGTGGATGGTTGTCGGCAGCATGATTCCCTGACTTAGGTCTGGGACAATTTATCCTCGTTCTCTTGGGCATAATAATGTGGATGTGGACATAGCTTCCTCTTCTTCCTCAAAAAGTTGTAGTAGTTTTTTCTTCAATTCTTCTTTAGTAGCCATGGGATTTTGCTGACGCATTCTGTTTATATAGTTGGTCATATTATTGATTCCAGCCTCTGGTGGTGAGATTGGTATCTTCTTCATTTTTATATTGTCTGGATCAAGGGCTTTATTTTCGTATACATCCCACCATTTTATGTATACCTATCTTCCTAATTTGGGAATGTATTCCTAAATATTTGTATAATTATCTGATATTTGGTAGGACCACTTCATAATCTATGGTTTATTGTATTCAGCAAATTTTCTCTGAGAGGCTTGTATTTTTGGTGGCAGTATTTCGGCTCCTGATCCCCAAACTTGGAACCAGTTTTTTAACCAATTTGGGAATTCTCCTACCACTGGTATTTTTATTTGAAGGAACCATGTATGAGAGTTATTATTATCTTGGAAGGCAAAGATTCTATACCATACTTCAACATATTTAGTATATCGAAAGTATTTGTTATTAAATCCTTCTGTCTGCAACCTTCTTGGTTTTACAGGATCCATACCCCAGTCCTTATATGATATTATTTTGCGGATCTGGAACTTGGAGTATGCAATTATATTAGTATTTTTCTTATAAAAATGGAACATTGTTATTGATCCGGTTTCCAGGAGGATTTCATATGGATCTTTATCTGTATGGATATCATCTATTATTATTTCAGCTATAAAAGTGGTTTCTATGAACCTGGATTTCTCTCCTCCTGAGGTATTCGGTGTTGATATTGGTTCAGGAGAGAATACTATTTCTTGTGCTTGCTTTCTAACTAATTGATTTGGGGTTATAGGAGAAGGTATTAAGGTTTTGTCTAATGCTGGAACTATTTCCATTTTCCCTTTCCCCTTGTTTGGTATTATTCTTCTGTCCCTGTCTCCCCTGCAAAAATTCACGGGTTAAAAAATCAGGAAGATAATTAGTATTTCCTTTAATATCTTCGATTTCAAATTCAAAGGAGGATAGTATACCTTGCCATCTTGCAAAAATCTGCTCTGAGACAAGGTTCTTGACATCTTTATTAAGAATATCTTTTTCGGCCTCACAATCAGTTCGTATAAGAAATTTTTGGTTTAAAAGGTCACTTTGAAATTTGGTGACACAATGGACTATGGCCAAAACTTCTTTTTTAACTGTAGAGTAATTTTGTTGTGTTTGGTTCCATGCACGTGAGGTGAAACGGACTAATTGTTCTATTGTTGAAACCTTTTGCTTCAATATACCTCCTAATCCTATTTCTGAAGCATCGCATTTCAATTATCTTGAACGCAGTGGGATTAGATAGTGTAAGACAGGGTAATTCCCTGGCTTTAATTTTTATTTTCTTAACAGCCAAAGTATGCTCATCTGTCCATTTTGATGGATTCTTTTTCAACCTTTGAAATAAAGGTTTAGCATCAATGGCTAGATCTTTCATTTTGTCTGTTATATCTATGATCAGATTTTCTTCTTTGGAGAGTGTATTGCAAAAGCAATTATTATTATCTTCATCCTCTGAGTCTGAACTACTAGATATTAAATTTTCATCTTCTATTTCTCCAACAAGTGCTTCCGTATTAGAATTTGATGAACTATCATCAGATTCTTCATCTATCTGTAATATTTGATACAGCTGGCTTTTGATATTTTCTTCTATTTGTAAAGCATTGATTTTCTTTTTTATCCGGCATTTATTCTTGTAATGTCCTACTTTTCCGCAGTTATAACAAACAGGTATTTTCCTCTTTCCTTTAGATTTTTTAAAATTATATTTAGGAGAGAATTTCTTAGCAATTTTTCTTTGTTATTTCTTATATGGCTATATTTATGCCTCTTATTTTTATACTTCTTCATATCGGTATCTTTGGTCATAGGCAAAGTATTATATCCAAATTGCTCACAAAAGTCACCCAATTCCTTTCTGCCTGTCATATTTTGTTTATCCAATTGTCTTTTTAATTTTAAGTCTATACATAGAGCAAGACCTTCTGAACATATTTCAGCAGACAGTTCTCCTAGTGTATATAAGGAGTATGGGATTATTCCTCCATGTTTATTTTTCAATCTTGTTTTGACTTTCTCAGTAATCCAGCAATAAATTTTTCTTTCCAGTGATCTGATTTACTATCTTCACTGGAAAAGAGCTGAGAAAAAAATACATCTTTATACCATTTATAATGGGACAATGTTGGGCATCTTAGATTGGACAAAAGATCTTCTGATCTAGCATCAAGCAGAGCTGTACTTCCTACAAAATGGAGAGTTATCGTATATATCAGGGTATTGACTGCATCACTTTCACTATTTAGTATATCTTCGCCAAATTCATTTTTTACTGTTCATTGCCTTGTGGCAGCCAATATTTCTCTTTTGGTAGTTTCGTCTATATGAAAATCCCACCAGCCTCTTAACCATCCAGTAAAACCACAGATGATGGCTTTAGCTATTTCCTGATCATGATTTCTACTTATCTTGCACGTTGTTGCGTACATTGTCATATGTTTCATTGCATCTAGTAATTGGTGATCAGATCTTCCTGAGTAGGATACAGTACTTGTAATCAAGTCTTCTTCAAACTGGATGTCCACAGGAGTAGCTCTTAGGTAATACATCCTGGTTTGAGAGTTGGTCTTATTTTCCTCCTATACTCTATTCTATTTATCTCAGGTTCTTCTATTTTGAAGGCTTCTTCAATCTGTTGTATCTCCCTATTGCTTAGGTTTTCTTCTTGTAATACCATTGCCTCCTATTCAATAACTATTCCTTTCCCTTTTATGCTTAACTTAGCTAATTTATTTATCAATTCATCTATTAATTCTTTATTATCTTCTTTCTTTTTTATTCCTTGCGGACTGAATTGTTCTTTACTAAGTTCTGGAGGTGGTTTGAATAATAAGGCTTTTTTCTTATTTATTTCAGTTATCTTGGCTAGAGGTATATTCTGAGGCTTACAAACTATAATCTTCATTCTTGTTGTCTGCTTTCCAATAGTTTGGAGGCAAAGATTGGTATAGTTATTTTGTTCAATTATATGAGGTATAACATCTATTTTATGAGTATGATGCTCTGTTTTTTTTGGAATTATTTTATAAGGAGAGGCTTTGGTTTCCGGTTTTTCTTTTAATGCCCCTTTTATCTGAAGACTTTTTTCAGGAAGGTGTATACTTTGTATTTCTTCTCCCTCGGTAGTATGAAAGGTCTGATATTGGTTTTCTATAGTATTAAGACTAAAGTCTGGGATTGGGATATCTTTTTCTCTTAGAGTAGGTCTTAACCAGTCAAAGAATCCTATATTTTGTTTATTTTTCTTGATAAACTTATTGAATCTTTTGTGAAGAGCATCTAGCAATTCTTGAGGGAATTCGGCTAGATACCAATCACAAATTTCTTTGTTTTTATTAGATAGATAATCATTCTTAACTCCTTCTATATCTATTTTGAACTTTTCTTCTCTTTGAAGGGTAAGAATATTAAAATCCAGATCTGAAGGTGTAGGTTCATTATCAGACGAGCTAGGTTCATATGTCCTACAAATTGGTCTTTGGATATTATTATTTATCCTTGTCAATCCCTCTAGTATGGGTCTTTGTGGTATGGACGAGGTAGAAGTGTCTAGAAGGCATTGAGATTCTAGATGGTGCTCGTATAGAGCCTTCTGACAAATTTATTCTGGTACGCCTGTCGAAATTGAATTGTATTTCTATCTCCGTCAGGGTACTCAATAATTTGCTCTGGTTCCGTATTGGTTGGAACTCTAGAATGTTGGTTCTCATAGTGTAAAGACCAATTTTCAGGAAGAGTTATTTGTGACCAACTTATGGCCTTGGGAATGACTGTATTAGATTTCTCCATATTGGTATGGAAAAATATTGTTTGTCCTTTAGTATCCATCTGAAGGGCATTCGGACATAAAGTATTCATGACTTTATAGCATATTCTATATACTAGTGCAATATTTTGTGATCCAGGGTTCATATCAAACCCTTGGGTTTTAATATTTAAATTAAGTACCTTTAATAGATTAGGGTCTACTACAGAAACTGAAAAATTTGGGAAACAATTAAAATATATGTGTCCATTACAAAGACTGGATTCTATTATTCCTAAAAGGGTGTCTAAGAATTTATTATGTCGGTCATCTCGTAGAGATAGCAAAATAGAATTATTTAATCTTAATCGGGTTAAAGGTTTTATCGCTATTTGTATAAGACCTATATGTAAATATTTATATTCTTTAGTTTTATGATATTGAATCATTCTATTTGAGAGTAGTTGGAAACTTTCTTATTCGTTGGTAATAGAGATGCTTTGTTCTACTGTTTTAATAGCAAAACTAGACTTAAACTCGAAAGTTCCTTTTTATATATATATCAGTTATAAGGACCTTTGAAATATTCCAATTCTGTATTTGTCGTTCTTTATTATCTATGGTGACTTCCTCTTTATTTTTTACTCGTAGTGTACTATTGGACGAGGAAGTTGTTCTATTGGACAGAGTCTTGATAAAATTTTCCATTTAGGATAGTGGATGAATACTAGTCAGTCGAAAACAGTCCTTGTAGCTTTTTCACGGCTCTTCCTGGCCTTTTTTGGTAGTGCGGGTCACAACGACTTTTGGGTTTCACTTTCTTACTATCTTTATGATAAATTTTATCGAGTCTTTGACTTTTAGAACAGATACCTAGTACTACAATTCACCACTGTAAACCTATTGGCTCTGATACCACATAACACCAAGATCTATTTTTGTCAGCTATTTATAGCTAAGTTTTATAAGAAGAAGTATTAGCAGAGAAGCAATAAGTAAGAACGGAGAAATATCTATTACAAACCAGTTACTATAAGTGGTATACCCAAACTTTAAACAGAATATGAACTTAAATTGCATAGCAGAGTATGAATACACTCACATATGGCACTTGCAAAAACTTGAAAATAGTTTCCACTCCTCTGGGCAGTAGCTCGGCAAAGAGTTTAGATTACAATCACACATATATTTTACAATCACTCAAATCCGGAGTGGCTAGATACACCACCTGATATACAGTAGAAAGAAAGGGAGAAAAGATAAATAGTAAATAGTAGAGAGAGCGAGAGAGTGAGAAGAATAATAGTGGAGACAGATTATCATAAAGAGGCAGAGAGAGTATAACAGAAATATGAGACTGAGAACTTTGACTGTAGGTTCGCAAAGAGAGAGACGGCTGAAGTGAACACGGGAGATGGCAAAGAAGAGAAACTTAGAGCGTAGAGAGATAGCTTGGGAGTGTAGAGAGTACAGAAAGATGAAGAGTACAGAGAGATGGAGAGAGAAAGAGAATACAGAGAGATGAAGAGTACAGAGAATTGCTCAAAAAGATGACTGATCAGAGAGTGAGATATTGAGTTGTGAAAGAAAACAGAGAAAGATAGAGATCTTGAGAGATATAGAGCTGTGGGGAGAGAAAGCTTAAGGCTGATTGAGAGCAAAGAAGGATAGAGGACTATAAGCTTTGATCAGAGAGAGTTGGGAGCTAGAGCTTACTGAGAGCAGAGAGAGTTGAGAGTGAGCTTACTGAGAGCAGAGAGAGTTGCGAGCTAGAGCTTAGAGAGTAGAGAGAGTTGAGACCAGAGATAGCAGAAAGTAGAGAAGATCATTGGGGGGAGAGCACTCGGATGCCTTTGCTTGACCTCCTCCTTCCCTTTTATAAGCATTGAACTTCAAGGTTTATTAAATTTGTTTCATAAAGGACCCCAGCATGAGGTGACCTAAAGGTGAGCAGTGACATCAAAAATTGTCGGCAGCACAGTAAAAGGTGAACAGTAACATCTTAGGTGACAAAAAGTTGTCGGCAGCACAGTGAAAGGTGAACAGTGACATCTTACGGTGACAAAAAGTTGTCGGCAGCACAATGAAAGGTGAATATTGACATCTTGAGGTGACAAAAAGTTGTCGGCAGCACAATGAAAGGTGGATGGTTGTCGGCAGCATGATTCCCTGACTTAAGCCTGGGACAATCTGAACTCACAATCCTCGTTCTCTTGAGCATAATCCTCTTCGTTTTGTGTGGATGTGGACATAGCTTCCTCTTCTTCCTCAAAAAGTTGTAGTAGTTTTTTCTTCAATTCTTCTTTAGTAGCCATGGGATTTTGCTAACGCATTCTGTTTATATAGTCGGTCATATTATTGATTCCAAACTCTGGTGGTGAGATTGGTATCTTCTTCATTTTTATATCATCTGGATCAAGGGCTTTATTTTCGTATACATCCCACCATTTTATGTATACCTATCTTCCTAATTTCGGATTGTATTTCCAATTATTTGTATAATTATCTGATATTTGGTAGGACCATTTCATAATTCATGGTATTTGGTATAATGCCATGAAATACATATGAAGGTCTATTCTTGTATCATTGTATTCAGCAAATTTCCTCTGAGAGGCTTGCATTTTTGGTGGCAATATTTCGGTTTCTGATCCCCATACTTGGAACCAGTTTTTGAACCAATTTGGGAATTCTCCTACCACTGGTATTTTTATTTGAAGGAACCATGTATGGGAGTTATTATTATTTTGGAAGGCAAAGATTCTATGCCATGCTTCAACATAATCAGTATATTGAAAGTATTTGTTATTAAATCCTTCTGTCTGCAACCTTCTTGGTTTTACGGGATCCATACCCCAGTCCTTATATAATATTATTTTGCGGATCTGGAACTTGGAGTATGCAATTATATTAGTATTTTTCTTATAAAAATGGACCATTGTTATTGATCCGGTTTCCAGGAGGATGGCTTCATACCATTCTCGGGGTCTTATTATTATTGGAAGGGTGTAAATGATTATCTAAATAAATATTTGCTATTTCATATGGATCTTTATCTGTATGGATATCATCTATTATTATTTCAGCTATAAAAGTGGTTTCTATGAACCAATATCAATACCGAATACCTATATATATATATATATATATATTCAATAGAAGGTTCAAAAAAAATTTCTTTATAATTAGTTCTCAATTAACTCCGCCATGGCCGGTCCCAAACCCAGAGAGATGAGGGTGGTTAGGTTAGGTTGGCAGCCAATGTAAAACTTTTTCCACATCTATTTCATGGATCTTGAACCAACTATGGTGTATGGTGTAACAAGATTCATGTAACTGAACCCAAAAGCTGGGATAAAGATTAGATGATGATTTATGAATTAGTTCTCAAAGGGTATTCTATTGATGATCGCGACAGGAATAAGTTTTTAAAATAATATAAAATAAAAAAATAACATAAAATTATTTTCCTAGTTCAACGAGTCTGCTACTTCCTTTCTGTAGGTAAGCAAGAAGTAAACATCTTAAAGTTCAAGCCTAGCTTCCAAAGCAACAAGGAAAGGAAGGAACACAGAAAAAAGATTTCAAGCATCAAAACATTAAAAAGTAGATTTTGAACTTGCATTTGCCTTCAATGTTCAGGTAAAAACTATTTTATTTCAAGTTTTCAATATAATTATGATCATGTCCATATAACAAGAATATTGTTCTTGTCTTTCAGTAACAATATTCTATCATGTCCAATGATGATGAATGAAATACTCACAACACTTTAGGAGTTGCTCCTGAGCCAAGCTATCCAGTCTTCGCTTCAAAGCTTTATTCTCCAATATCAATATCAGATGTTGCTGGTTACAAAATTCTAGCTCTGATGCAGCTTCTGATCCTTCAACCTACAATGGAATAGTTTAAAAAGAAACAATGACAATTAATACATAGTAATGGTTATTTTTTAAAAAAAGGAACAATGACAATTGTTAGATAGTAATGGTTAATTTTTCAAAAGTATGGAATCTCTTTCATCCCATATTTATACTTGCCTGTAAAGCATTAACATTTCTCTCCAGTTCAGCAATGTACTGAAGCTTCCTAACCCGAGAACGTTGTGCAAATTGCCTGCAATGGCATGAGTAAATTAAAATGGCTCAGAGAATAATAAGAGCAGGTACAGTTATCACCCATAAAAATAAAATAAAATCAAATAAAAAGAACTCTGATAATTATGGCACTTGATTAGTAAAGACTATATGAAAATTCCTGTCAATACTTCTATCCTTAAAAAATTATTAAAAAATAAAGAGAAAAGAAAAAGAAATCAAAGAAGCATAGTGCCTAGTTTAAAAATTTTAAGGATTGATAAATGAAAGTTGATACCAGCTACAAATTCCATTATTTGAAAGGTACGGGACGAACTCTATAAGCTGAACTTCATTTGACAAAGCTTAGCCACCAAAAAGCTTAGCCACTGATCAAGCATCCCGTCTTATATTTTTAATCCTATTCATGTTACCTTGCATGAGTTTCAGGTTGCTGATTAAACAAATTTGTGGAGTCAATAATTGCTCTATGAGTGGTCCTTGAAAACCTCAATAATTTTCTCCAAAGGATACTCAACAATGTAAAAAATAGCATTCAGAATTGAATGCAATTATCTCCCGATGACCTTCAAATAAAAGGATACCATCCTCAAACGGGTATATGAATCAGTAATGATGCAGAGAAAAAAGTCGATTTAAACAATACTAATGCAGACCAACATTTCATCGATAAAATTACTACTTTCCTAACACATTGTAAATATTCATTCAAAGAATGATCCACTATCTTTTAGACAGTAAACTCCTCAAGAAAGTAAACATCAGTAAATTACACTACATACAAAAGATGATCCCTTGATTTTTTCAGCCTCTAGAGGTGTCTATTATGATGGACGCACAGAACATACAGCTAGAAACATTGGTTCATGCGCACACAAAGATCCAAGCAAGAGTGAGGTTTCCTACATTGTCAAAATCGCTTCTCTGGTTGGGTAACACAGGTTGACATATCCCCATGGCGTGGCTGTGCTGCTTTTCCTTTTATTTGGAAATCTCCTTAGCCTTACAAGTGTTTTTACATGTATTGTACGAGGTGTTTCCGCATTTATTCATTATTTCACCAATTTCATTATTTTTCATTTATTTGTATTTTTTCAACTCTTTCAGTTTTCTAAATGTCAACAGACAAAAAGCAGATTTTCTCTAAGAAGTTCATAAGTACAGTAACAGTCAAGCTGAAATATAAATGTTTCAATGCTATACGCGTCAATTGTTAACTACACACAATTACAATCAACATGATAACCAAACAGGAAACAATATCAACTAAAAAAGCCAAATACTAGGTGACATACTGCTTAGCTCGTTTTGGGTCTGCATCCTTCTTCTCCATGTGTCCTTTCTGATCACAAGCACCTGAGCCTTCTGGCTCTTGTCGCTCCATACCCGATGGTGCCACCACCTCTTGCTGAACACAGGATGATGCCGAGCTGTCAGGCATATTCCCATCTCTAAAAGGCGGGACGTTTCGTTGGTAGGAAGGATTCCATGCCCCACTAACAAAAGGCCTTCTCGATGAATCAGAATTGACCAGATCATAGTCAAGAGAACCCCATGAAGGAACTTGCTTTAATTTTCCCTTCTTCGACTCTTCATGACCCATATGATCAACATTAGAAAAATTGTTATATGCAAAAGAGTCACTTGACGAGCGTCTATGTGTTCCTCTCTTAATAGGTGTGTCAGGCTCATTAAGTAGGTCGTCAAGCCATGGAGGTTGCTCATCTATGAGAAAGCTCTCAGACAAAGTGCGTTGGTGTTGCTTGTATCCTCCCATTGGTTTTGGATGGTCGTGAGGACCAATTAAAGAATGTGACACAAAATCCACAGGGGCTGAGGAATGGGTTGGAGTAGGGCTTTTGGGGGGAAGATGATGGGCTTGCCTTCCTTGATAAGCCCAATTTGACAAGTGTGGTAGCCCTCTATAATTGGCCATTTTGCAGTTCAACTTCGATATATTCTGGAAGCAGAATTGGAAATCTTGTTATCATTTATTGAAAGTATTCGCAGAGTCCTTGGAAGAAAAAGTAACAGAGAGAAATGGGTAAGCTATGCAGCAAATGGTTCTACTAGTGGTATCAGTTGACATCCAAAAATAAATAAATAATTGTATCACCAGTGGTATTACAAGGATGTGCTGTAGATAATAGAAACCCAATATGGTATTTGAATTTTCTAAATGCTTCACGTATTTCTTGTCTCGGGTAAAATTTCTTGTGGAAACTTTTTTCTCCTCAGTGGCCAAAGACTTACATTTTGGAGTTCAGCACTTGCCTCATCGGTGAGTTCATTTTAAAATTTAGCTAACATTGCTTTGTTTCTCCCCATACTCAGTATTCAAAAGGCATTAAAAAATACATAAAAAATAAAAAATAAAAAAATCGGCTCATTAGTTTTCTTTTTTGTTAAGTCACCTTTGATTATTTCTCTGATATAAATTTAGTTACACGAAATACATGTATACCAACCACAAGAACTAGTTCAGATTGAGAGATCCAAATTTGGGTTTCAACCAAAACTTTCAGAGGAAAAAAAAAGTAAATACCCCATTGATCTTTCATGTTGCTACGGCAAATAGTAATCAACGATTTAAGGAATCACATACCTATGGATCTCAAATAACATTAATGAAATAATAAAACATATACATTATCAAGTATCTGAAATTAGTAAAAGTGGCAAAGGACAAAACTAACAGCAGTATTAAAATATTAAACGATGGCTAAATAACCATATTAGTGGCGTAAATAAATTTCTTTAAAGAAACAAACTTAAGCGTGCTGAAATTTTGTTAGAACATGGCGTACTGCACGGCAAAAAAAAAATTAGAATTCAAAAACCAAAATGAAGAGAAAAACATCTCCATTAATGACCTCTATAAACCACAGATTATTATTAGATAACAGAAAAAAAAAACCTAATTAATCAAAATCAAATTCCCATTACTAATCCAAGGTGCAAAAAAAAAAAAGTAAAATCCACCATCAAGTAATAATACATACTATTACATCCAATTTGGAAATAACTACAGTAAAGGCATCAAAATTTCAGAAATATGGGAGGAATTCATAGTTAAACCGTAAAATTAGTGCAAGAAAACAGAGCACTCACCGTTTTGATGGAATGGAAACGTAACGATCCCTCGTCTTCTGATCCCCCAATTTATATAAAAAAAAAAAAGTTAAAACAGATTTAAATCAGGGGAATTAAAGAAAAGTAGGAGAAAATAAATCAAAAATATATTTGGGAAAATAAGGAAAAAAAATCTCCCTTCTTCTTCTGCCCTTTCTCTTGGAGAGATGAGAGGAGAAGAGATGAGAGAGAATAGTGGGCCTTTAATTAAGTGGTTTATTTATTTTTTCTAAACCTATGACATACACGTGTCACTATTCAATAGGCTTATAAATATAATGACCTCATAAATGACACGTGTCAGTGGACGCTATGGTCATTTTTTCTTTATGCGCGTTGCCACGTTGTCTGCCACGTCGGCCTGCGAGTTGTCGTTTTACAGGGAGTAATGACAAGAATACCCCGCTCTTTGTTTGGTTTTCGTCCGAAAGTGCTTTAGATTTGGCAATGACGAAAATACCCCGCGCTCTTTTGTTTCCTTGATATATCAAGAGAATTTATTTTTACTAAATGGAAAAAATCAAGTGGTCTCGCTAGACCATTGTCAACATATGCTCCCCAGACGAAACATTTAAGGGAACGTTTTTATTTTAAAAAATTCATATCATTTGTTACCTTTAGTTTTTGAAAATTTGTCGATCCTTTTAGGAACCACCTTGATCTGATCAGGATCAGGAGGTGGGTGTTCTGGACCGAGGAATCTGGGAGTTGCCCTAATTCTCCCAGTTTTTTAATTTTTCAAGTTCTTTTATAGATCCAAAATCAAGTGATCCATAATGGAATTGGCAATCCGACTCGATTTTTTGAGGGATATCAGATCCATATCCGTATATTTAAACCAATATACCCATCCCCAATATCAACTAATGAAGAAAATAAATTAGATCTGAAATATCTTCAAATCAAATCCTCCTTGATGATTGATTCTGGAACGTCTATAAGTGGGATAATGGAACATATGTTCTCAAGGGTCTCATAAACCCTTTTTTTCTTATTTTTCTTTTTTTAATTGCTCAGCGAGATGATTTAAACTTCAAACATTATAAATTAGAAAGAAAAACTACATGTATGTGAGTGGGAGTGTGTCCGGGCGGTCTCACACCATCAACAGTGCTTGTTTCGGAAAAAAACATAAAGGAAATTTATCAAACCATACCAAATCATTTGAGCTATTTTAACATTTTACCGTAGGTCTATTTTGATGCATTTAAAAATGATTTTGATGTCGTTCTTTATCAGAGGCCTGCAATATCTCTTTTTAACTGAAAGTTAGAAAATAAACTAAATTTGATCGAATGGCATAGTCTACTTATATGGTGATTGGATTTGACTATGAAGTAAAACAATATGCCAAAAAGTGTGACCAGTCCAATGTATGCACTGGTTTGTTCAAGCACCAATATTTTAAGATTGCTAAAATAGTTTAGGAAATGTTATGTCATTTCATGAGATTAGTTAGCAATTTGTTGTAACTAGTTTAAATTGCTTTAGATGTTTAGTAACTAAAAGTTGCATTTTAAAGCTAAAAATGAATTATTATTTTAAAAAAAAGCAAAAAACAAAGGAATTGGTTGAGGTCTAGTACTTTATTTGGTGTAATTAGTAATTCAGAAATTTATTCAAAATAATATTTGGTTGAGGAATACGGTTTGAGTGGACCTCTCTTTCTCCATGCAAAAAGATAGAAAATAAGAGTATTAATATGAATATTATATATCTTCGTATGGATGGTAGTAAAATAATACCATATTAAATATTGACTCATCAATTGAATAACATGCGTTTTCAAATTAATGTTCAAGTTAATCTTAGTTATTAATGTTCTTTAAAAGTGACAGAAAATGGATTGTATACTAGAAGGTTGTCTGCCTACAAGAAGGCCGCATTTACTCTCAACCAATGTTTTAAATAATGAAAATGTTTTAATATGAAACTTATTGAAAACTAAAAAATTCTTCAAATCAATCATCTCGGTCTTCACCGGTATGGTTGTAAAAAAAATTAAGATTTCAAGTCTAAAATAATGTACATTTTATAATATTATCTAAACCATTTATTTCGTCTAAAAATAAGTATTCACGAATTTGGCTTCAAATTTATAGGTGGTGTTTAAAATTTATTTTAGAGCCATTATAGAGATTTCAGATGCCCAAATATGGATCACGGTGATCCAGAACATCCAAATTGACTATATGGAAAAAGAGAAAAAAAATTATCTAATGGATAATTTATATCCAATAAGCTTGTAGAGTTGTAGTTGTGTAGGGCCCAAATCCCCAAAAGTTCGATTCCTACAACCCCACTTTTTTTATATGGCCTAAAGAGCGCATCCTTCATACTTTTCATTTGAGTCCTATGCACGTCTACCACTAGCAGTCCCTCAATTTTTAAGTAATTTTTATCCATAGTACATTATTGCATAGTATAAACAACTTTTTTAAGTAATTTTTATCCAAGTTATAAACAACATATTCATCTCCATGAATACTAATGGTTATTGGGTGATTTTTTATCTAGATTGGTAATTTTCAATCCGGATCACCAATTTTGAATCAAAGTTCTCAATGATCGAACGTGACAAATAATGGCTAGAAGTATGTTACAGTGTTCATATCTAATAGTTATTAGTGATTGTGACATTTTTGTACAAAAAATAAATGATATCATTGCATACTTCCTAACATAGATTATCCACATATACCTGGAATGGCAATTTAAATATGGATCACCAATGTTGAATTAGAGTTATCAACCATTGGAAGTGAAAAATAATGGTTACAAGTATATTACAAAGTTCACATCTAATGGTTATTAGTGATTGTGATATTATTGTACAAAAAAAAAATAGTCTCAGCATGTTTCCCCCACATAGATTACCGGCATATGACAAATATTTCTTGGAAAATAAAACATAAAACATGGGTTATAGGTGCTTCATATAAGGTGCAAAGCATAAAAAACTTAAATAATGCATGCAATATTATTATTTTTTGGGTGATGGGGGATAAGGGATTTCTTACATGTAGTACGAATGGAATTCAAGATGTCATGATAACATGATGTGGCACATCGCTACCCTAACCACCTAACTTTGAGCCTATTCCTTTGTATATGAAATATTCTCAATACTTCAAATGTTTCTTTGCGAAGCCCCGCAGACAAAGACATGGCAATATGTAGATGATATGTAGTACGTGTAACAATATGTTTAATTTAATTATAAGATATTCTTTATACAATTGAGTTGATTGCATCCAATGATTAAAAACTCAATGAGTTGGATTGAAATCACCTGATCTAGCTTAAAAATAAAGAGTGACTAACTTCAAATTCCCACGTATCAATGATTCTCCTAGGTTCTACCAGACTAGCATAGTGCGCGTTTGGGAACCATGCAACTTTTCATAGGGAATGGAATCTAGTGATTCTTATTTTTAATCCATTATTCGGAAACGCCAGATTCTAGCGAGGTCAAAATTTGGCTCTGAACCCACCATTTCAATCCCATAGATCTATTCTTTAGATCAATGAGATTTACAGCTCTATTTTCAAATCGAATCCCCATTTTACAAAATCAAAAGTTAAAAAAAATTGAGGTCTCTCATTTTCAATTTTGATCAATTTGATTAGGAGCTGATCATTTTAGATTGTTTCAAATCATATTTTGACAAAAAATCCTATGTCAAATTAATCGTAGAAGACAATGGTTTTTTTTTTGTTACAGTTTTGTCAATTTTGTCTTCAATTTTATTTTTTTATTTTTTTTAGATTTTGGATGGTTCCATTTTAATTTCGCAACCTTTGATTCAAAATTATCAAAATAATGATTCAATGATTTAAAAAATTTAAATAATCTTGATGTTTTATTTTCTTTGGGCTAGATCACCTCAAAAGAATTGCCATCTTTTTTACGTTATTAAAATACACGTCAAATATATAATTTTCAATTGAGATAGATGGTATAGAATTTTGCAATCGTACTTCTACAAAAAAAATTATGCTGGATATAGAAATCATCCTTTTATATAAGGAAAATGTTTATATAAAGATTGACACATTAAATTGTAGAATTAAGGTGCACATCCAAAATCCTTCTAAAAATGTTGTTTTGATGTTGGAAAACATCTAATTGATCATCTCGACATCGAGTTGTATAGATATGGAGTAAAAGAGATATTTTAACTCCTACAAATAGTACATATTGCAACATATTATCTGGACCATTCATTTTCAATATTTTTGTATTCGTTTATAAAACAGCTTGATTTGAACCATTATTTGAGTTTAAAATTTTATTAAATATAAAAACAGATTCTCACACCATCTTAAGATTTTTGGACACCAAAATTACATCTCATGATAAAGTTTGGAGGTGCACTGTGAGGGATTCATTGTCTTCGCAGTGCCTTTGATCATCAAATGATCGAGAAAGAGCAAAGCCTTGTTATTGTTAAAATTTGAACTCTTGAGTGTGCCTTGTGCATGAAATCGTTTATGAGAAGTTCAAAGAAGATACTTCACTCCAGCACTTGGGTAAAATTGCTGAAAATAGTTATCTTATTGGTTTTATCATCATCAAAACCTTTTCCTAACTAATTTCAGCGACTTATTATCAGTTAAAAATCCTCAAAAAAAGTACAGGTTTTTATGGTGGTTTACAACTAACTTAAGTGGTCTTAGCTAAATCACATAGATCCCCCTCAATTATACGAGTTCCGAACTTGGAAAATATTTTTTTATCCAAATCTCAACCTTTCAGTTTGGAACATGGAACAAGAGGCATGTGCCATTTTAGTAAATTGGCTATCAAAATGCACGTGCCAAATGATCCCAAATCCATAAAATAGGCATTTCGAATATTTCATGGTGCGGTTTCTATAATGTTGCAACTTTCAACAATCCAATTAAGGCGTACCTCCAAAATTTATCATAACATATCATTTTGGTGTAAAAAATTATTAGGATTATCTGAAAATCTATTTTTATCTCTAATTATAAAATTTTAAACTCCAAAAATGGTTAAAATCAAGTAGATCCATAAACATATGGAAATCTTGAGAATGGACGGTCTAGATAATGTATTGCAAGATGTACTATTTTTTAGACTCAAATTTTTTATTTTTTTCATATTCGTATATCTCGATGTTTAGATGATAAATTAGAGGGTTTTTTAACGTTAAAACAACAATTTCTGATAGTTTTTAGGTGCATCTTTAATTCTACATTTAAGGTTGCAACCTTATATATATATATATTTTCATATAACAGGAAAATTCATCAAAGGGAAAACTTTATATAAGGTTGCAACCTTAAAACGTAAAATCACAGATGCACCTCAATAATCAATCGGAAATGCTGTTTTAATGTTGAACAAAATCTCTAATCGATCATCATGACATTGAGATGTATGAATATGAAAAATAAATAAAATTTGAGTTATGGAGATAGTGCATATTGCAACACATTATATAGACCGTTCATTTTCAATATTTTAATATATTTATAGATCTACTTGATTTTAACTATTTTGAGATTTTAAAATTTTCTAATTAGGTACGAAACTAGATTTTAAGATAATATTAAGAATTTTTTATAACAAAATTACATGTTATGATAAAATTTTAAGGTACGTCTTAATTTGATTGATTAAAGTTGTATCCTTAGATAAACCACACCTTTCATCAAAATACCTAGTAGTGATGAAATATTTAACATTTCGCCAGAATGCAACTATTTCAATTTAAGACCAATATTTTGAAATTAAATCAAAAGATATAGGTAAAATATTCAAATTATTCATCTCTAATAGATAACTTGATAAATTGATCTATATAATATAACTGAAAAAGTACTTTTTTCTGAAATGACCTAATTAAGTTAACAACTTTGTTATAACTGGCTGTTTGACCATCAGAATGAAATTTTTGGGTGGTTTGGCAATTTAACGAATATTTTCCCTTTCTCCCATCGTTGTCTCTTGTTATTTATTATTATTAGTTATTGGGTGCGGTTTGCATAAGGTGTCAACTTTAAACAATCAAAAAACGACGTACCTCCAAACATTGTAAAAAAAAATGTAATTTTAGTATCGAAAATTTTAATAATGATGCAAAAATCTATTTCACACCTAATTATAAATTTGAAAGTATAAAAAATGGTGTACATCAAGTATATCTATAAACACTTGAAAATCTTCAAAATAGATGGTCGGGAGTCTAATTGTGAATTTTAAAGCTCAATAAATGGTGTAGATCAATTAGATATACAAACACTTCAAAATAGATGGTTGAGATGTTGCATTACAAGATGCATCGTTTGTAAGACTTGAGATCTTTCTCTCTATTTTTTTTCGTATTCATATATCTTGAGGGCAAGATGATCAACTTTTTTTTTTTTTTTATGGACTTTTGACGCATGTTGTACTTCTATAGTATAAGGGTGATACTGTATATAGATATTTTTCTTATTAGTATATTTTTTTGGGTGTGGTGGGTATAAAGTTGCAACTTTATTTTTAAAAAATAAGGTTGTGGTATTTTATACCATTAATTTTATTAGACGGTATAGATTTGACACATATTTTTAAATAATATTAATAAATAATATATTTTTTAAAGTAATATCTAATATATAACGTCCAAATAAAATAAGCCTTATCTAATATTGATTTTATAAATATTTTGTAATCCCATATTATATGGGATTGTATACAATAACACTATTATCTAATATAAATATTTTGTAATCCCTTACTACATGAGATTTTATACAATATTATCATTGACTTTTGAAATAGGAAGGACACAATTAGTTATTATTCTGATGTGAAATCTAATAGCTTGAATAAAATTTTATTTTAAATTTTAAGTTTGGTCAATTAAATAAATGCAGCCATCAAATTCCACATCCAAAGGTCAATATCGGTTATGAGTACGTTATGTAAAATACTTTCCCATAATATTCATACACTGTACACTAATTATTTTGGTTAGTCAAGGACTAATTGTATTATTTCGTCCGTGATTGCGCCTAAACAATATAATTTTGTTCAATCAATGAACTCGGGTCAGGGTTTCTCGAATCAGAAAGTGTAAATGGATCGGTGAGCACCGTTATTAGGGTTTCTGGTTTGCAGGCTCTGCAACTGGTTTTGAAGGAACCATCAGCAAAATAAGGATAAGAAAAGGTTCGTTTCTTGCCGTTGAATTGAGGCTTGGAATCGTTTCTCATTAAAGCATTAGGTATTTGGAATGGTAAAAACTACTCGTCTCTGTCAGTTGAATTAGCGTTTTTGGGATTTGGGTTACTTACAAAGCGATGCTCTAGAATTAGCTCAGAAGAGGATTCTAGTGGTGAGATAGTAAGAATGCAGATTGGAGTTTCTGGTTTTGATCTTGAGAGCCTGGGTTGGAGAAGGGGATCTGAGGGTTTAAGCAAAGATGACGAGGAAGAGGTCCCAACACATTTGAACACCATGAACAGTTGCTCTTTCTTGGGGGTTTCAACAGATAAGCTCTCTATTCAGTACACTGGTGAGGCTCTCCATGGCCATGATGTTGGTGCAGTTCAGAGCAATTGCCCTGCTCCTACTAAGAGGTTGGTCTACTATTTTGAGATTTTTGTGAGGGACGCTGGACAAAAGGGTTCCATTTCGATTGGTTTCACAAATGAGAGATTCAAGATGAGGAGGCAGCCCGGGTAAGAAATAACTTTCCTTGTTATTGTCATTTTCTTGGTTTTCTTTTGGAAATTCTAGTTTTCTTGGGATGAAAGTTTCAGTTTAGTATTAGTATTGAACGATGGGAATTTTGTTTAGTTACTTTTAATGTCGTTTTGATTTGATGGAAGTCGGCTTGAAATTTTCCCTATTATTGCATTTTTGGTTATAGTTGAGCATGGAGAATCGGATGGCAATGTTTGATTTACTATATTGGAAAATATATTTACATTTATTGTCATCATCATTGGTAGCGAAATAATTGGGAGGATATTTACAAGGAATTTTGTACCTTATTGTTGGATCGATTATTCTACCAACAAATTCCATTTTTATTAGATTGAATTAAAGTAGGATGGTTGATTGAAAATCTGGATCTGAGAACCACCTGCTTGTCTGGCAATATATTGTCCTACTGAAGGTCTTAGTTACAAGAATAAGGGAAGGCCTAGGATTAACTTTCTCTGCTCCCTGAGGAGATTTTGAGTGGAGGCTTATATTAGATGAATATGTTCTGATTTGAAGTGAACTTTAATGAACTTATTTATCGATTGATTTTGGCTTGTTATGTGCACCCTTCTGGGTGCAATGTGGAAGGGATTCATAACAGTCTCTTTTTTTATTTTTTGGATTGGGGACCCAAGAAAAAACATTTGAACCCAATGATTTATAGTTTGAGAGAATAAATGCCTTTTTGAAGGAGCTGGTATATTTCCTCTGTCCATATGTTTAGTCTCATCAGGGCGACTGTTAGGTACATTCTGATTTACCTCATTTCATTGTTCATGATTCCAATGGGATAGAAAAATAAATTGAGTCAGTTGTCGAGGTTTCCTATTTCAAGGTAACTGTGAAAGTTGGAAGTTTCATCTGACTCTTTTTTTGGATGTGAGGATATCTCCATGATCACAATCATTGAGGTTTGGTTGTTATTCACATGGGGTTTGCTACTGAGCACCCTTTTTTAGGTAATGGAATTAGCATTTCAGTGAAGATCCGGGCAGCCTATGGTTTTCTATGGGGTGGACTGGTGGAGATTGTAAGTGTGGGTCTGTATGTGCGCATCAATATTTGTAGGATTTAATATGTTTGTTGGTGGGGAGATTAGCATCGGTATTGGTTTTGGGGTAGGTGTCTGGACTAGGCCGTGTTTACCTTTTGTGTGATGACTCGCACTCTTGAAGCTCAATTTTCAAGTCTAAGCAGATTGCCATTTTCACATTATGCATGAGACTCACATGTGTACTGCCAATATAACGATTGAAAAAGAAAAAAATGTGTATTGCCATTTTCCGAATTGCTTTCTTTAAGGATCAATCTGACTTTACAGGGGTTGAGAGACCGCGAGGTCGGTGACTTGAGTCTATCTTTAGGTATTCCTGAGATTGACGGAGAATTTAAGAATGGGATAATGCAAATTAGTTCTTTATTCTTGCCTTTGTTATGATTTGTCATGTTGAGGTCCAGTGTGGTGTTTTGCTCATGTTGAGGATGTCTAATGCCTTATGACTGCGCCTCCATGGTTCTGCTAAACTTTCATGATTTCAGGCATGCTTGTCAACTCTGTAGCAGTGGTTGTCTGCTATCTGAATTTTGGTTAACTCTTTTTCAACTCCCAGTGAATCAGGAAGTGGCTTGTGTGATGAGATGTTGCTTGAGGTGAATGGGGTAGCATTACTGATGCTATAGAGGTGAAGCCTTTGCCTGGTGACACAACATGCAAGGTGCCTTCCACAGCACTTGGAACTGAGTCTTTGAAAGTCTTATTGCTAGTTTGAGAGCAATTTAAATGCTTAGTGGCTTCCAATAGGAGGTAGGTTTAAGGCGTTGAGTCTAAGTGGACGGAGTGGCTTCTGTCTTTGGTTGTGTCATAGCTCATCATTGGTGCACTAGAAAGAGTTTGGATGCTGGATATGACTAGCGTATCAATGGAAAGGGAGAGATAGCTGATGTTACCCATCAGTAAATCCATCCCACGGTTGAGGAACAGTCTCCCTTATGCCTTATTCCTTCGGCTTTGAACCTGCAGATCTCAATTTTTATGGACTTATCTGCAGTTATCAGTTAATGGAGTGTTTAGCTTAAATCATACAGAGGAGTAATGGAACTTAATTGATATTGCTTTAGAGGAAGAAAGCTAGGACGAGTTACTGGTGGAGATGGATAGTGGCCAAACCCTTATAACGTTACTATATGCTGAACAAAAAGGTTGGAGATGTTGACCCTTTTCCAACAAGGTGCTGTCCATGAATATGGCACATCTCAACAACTAGCTATGTTCCTTTCCATTGTGCCTTTGACTCTCTAGTGCTTGTGTTGGTTTTTCCTCCTACAAAGCTCGGAGAGCATTTCGCAAGGGAACATAGGCAATTAGCTTTGACTTGCAAGCATCTATTGTTATCAGGGTGGTGCAGCTTTTGATGTCACTGTTTTTGAGATGGGTGATTCAAAGAGCCTCTTGGGGTTGGAGTTTAAGAAACTCAGAAGCTCTTTTGTCGACGTTGGTAAAGTTGAATCTTGATCAAGATCATGAACTATTTTGTTCATATATTTTTTGATAGGTCATAGACAATTATGAACTTGCCGCTTCATAGAACTTTTCTCGTCTCGAGCCTAGGCTCAGATTGTTGAAACCTTTCCAGTATCCCTGGACTTGTGTTATCATAGGATTGTTTTGATCCCTATAGGTTTTTATGTTTGAGCATGGTATGTGTAGGTCATGTAATTGTTTTCCCATGAGTTCTATGCTTTGTACTTAAGCCTTTGTGAGAGAACAGTGAGCAGACTGGAATAATCATCATCATCATTTTAGCCTGTTCCCAATTAATTGGGGTTCGGCTACATGAATCCTGGTTCTCCATTCACCAGTCTTCTTGTTGTCTATTGGTGGTGTGTATTAGTGCTTTGCAATATATATATCATTTCTAAAAACTTTTGTCGCACTAATGTTTGTCATTTATCTTTGCAATTTTTCTATTTTCCCTATGGAAAATTATCACAATGCACCAATAGATGAACTATTTAACATTTTACTCATTTATTTTGATTTAATTTCTTAAACCCATCAAAATGCACATGATCATGACTTGGAATAGTTGAAAGTGGTAAAAAGGTTAAATAATTGATCCTTGATAAGTAAGGTGTGTTTTGATAAATTTCTGTTTTTCGTATTATGTGGAAGTGTGTAGGGTTTGATGTGCGAAATATGATTACGTTCATAAATATTGACAACAACAAAGAAGCTTTTATTATTGTGAGGTGGAAGACTCAACTGAGCCTCAAATGACCTTCTTCTTTATCTTGAGTTTAACACTAGAATGTACAAAACATTGCTATTATGTGCTTGTATAACTGAAACATACTAGACATTGGTGATACAAGATTTATGCAATAAAACTCTTAAATGTTACCTGATTACTATTTTAAAAAAATCCTAATATTTTCTTGTATTTTATGACTTTCACCTATGCCTTAAATTTTCAGCATTACTATATTTTGTTGCAATTTTTGGTGGTGTTAATGTTTTCTTATGTTTATTTAAAGTTTGGAACAACATAATATGATTTCTATGCTTATGTTATGTATGGATCTTAAGATGGCTAGATATGGCCACGGATACTTATATGGATGTGGTCAATGGGGATACGACTTGGCATTTCTTAAAGTCCAAGATATTGATATGAGTATCATATCTGCCTTGTCCATAAATATATAATAGGGCTTTTATGTACATAAATATAACATATAACATATTGATACATATATTAATTATATCATAATGCATAATTATATTTTGTTCATTATACTTTTTTGTACATATATTATTTATATCGTAATGCATAATTATATTTTATTCATCGTACTTTTTAAATTTATGACATTTTATGCTAACAAGTATGCAAGCAGTAGTCAGTATCAGTAGCAACATCTACAATACAACCATGACATGTTAAGCATGTTGAGGTTGGTTTCGAGGCCTTTAAAGCCTGTGAGAGCATGTTAAAATAATAGATATAGTGAATTGTGCGGTTTAGTAGGAGTGTATGGTGGTCGACTGCCCTAGGGTTGAGTATCTAGGCCCGGTTTGTTCAAAACCCTTTCCTTTGAGCATAAGCACTACCATTGAGGATTTTCTAAAGGGTCATCGCTTATTGAGGTTGGAGAGATGCCCAAAGATGATGTGTGTAGGCCAGGAGTGCTTAGTAGTCTCTTTTATAATTGTAGGCATGTGAAAGTGAGTCCCAAATCCTCAATAAACCTCCGGACAATATATACATATGACAACCTCATTCTAGGAAGAAACCTTATAGAGTGATAAGCGTACATGTACATAGAGTCCCCCTTGCATTACAGTGATATGTGCATCTAACTCGCTTTTAGGGGGGAACCTGTAATTCACACACTAGGTTCGTAGTTCTACTGTTTATTGGCTAGCTTTGACGGGTCAATAATAAACCGTTGCGTATGACCATGGTTGATGTAATGGGTTTAATGATGTAATGGTGGATTTTTTATTTATTTATTTTACGATTTTCTAGATTTTAGGTTTGGGATTATTTTGAGTTTCTAGTTTTCTTTAGGGGTATTTGAATATTTTTTAGTTATAGAGAATTTAGGGGTATAGTTGAAAAGTTAAATATTAAATAGATGTAGGGTTAGGATTTAATCAATGTTTCTTAGGGAACAAGTTAGCTTTTATGGTTATCCTCTTTATTAATGTGTAGCTCTTGAATTATAAAAAAATAGAGTGAAGACAAGAATGTTTCCACCCCATAAAACGATATTTTATGAGGTGGACTGCCTTGCAGACCAAGGGAGAGGATATAATGTTTAAAACCTTATCAATAGGCCTGTATCAAGGAATGATATTAAGCATCATATGAGTCCAATGGCTCGTCGTTGTCGCCGTCGTTCCTCCTCCTTCCCATCTACCCTTAGTTGGGAACAGATCTACAACCTCTACCCCAAAACCTTCCCCCCC